CGTATAAGCCGCACCGGACTATAAGCTGCATGGTTCAAAGTTCAGGAAAAAAGTCGCAGTTTATAGTCCGAAAAATATGGTAATCATTCTTATTGGATGGGTTCTTGTTCTAGTTTAGGCTTCRGTTTGTTTCCAGCACATGTTTTGGTGAACATGAAAATGATCCTTTCTGTCTCCCATCTAATTATTTACATCTCATTTTTCTTTCAGCTTGTGGAAAGATTATCCATTCTGAAGAGGACATCATGAAGCAGAAGATGATGCACACATCCATGCATATTTTGATCTTTTAAATTCATCTTTAATAATGTTCTTCCTCTGAAATATTTAATCACTTTTTAGTAAACAAATACCGACAAATTCTTTGCTTTTCTTTTGTGATCATTTATTGAACAGTGACTAAATACTGATGATGAATAACCTACTGTGATTATATTAGTGTTGAGTCATGCTGGATGTTCCTACATGAGCAAGTCTGGAGAGAGGGKCTAAACAGGAAGTACAATGTTTTATATCATCACCAAGACTGACTCAAACAACTTCAGACTCAGTGTTCCAACATTTGAGAGCAAAACCTACCATCTAACCAGAAGATAGCAAGATGGTACAACAAAAATACTCCATTACAAAATTAACAGGACAAATACAAATTAACAAACATGAATGAAGCTTTTTTAATRTTTGGTTACAAATCAATTCCAGTCTGAAGTCTAGAACACAGACAGAAGATGCTGGGGTTCATGATGCTCTCAGTAGCCATGTTTGCATCTAACAGTAATGTAAATAATGACCAAACTTTTAAAATGTTGAAAAAAGGCACCGTGAAGCACTTTGTGCCTAGTTGACTGTGAAAAGTGCTATTAAAGGCTTAATTCTAAAGTTTATACAGTATGGGGTGCCGTTTGTAAAGTTACACAGTCAAAAATTACCACCAATATTTTTGTTTTATTTAACCTTTTATAAGAAAAAAAGAACAGATTTATTTTTCAGTCAGTTTTTCACCATATGATTCAGACATTTATAAATGTCATAGTTTATAAACTAAATATTTAACTTAAAATTAAATATTTAGT